GCGGGACATGGGGACTGGAGATCGCCCACCTGGCGCCGAGCTGAACATGAAGCGCACGGGCGAGAATCTCCTCCAGCGTCGAGATGAGCGCACGAGCAGAGGGCGCGGAAGGTTGACGAGTACACCAAGACCTTCGACAAGCACGTGGCTGGCTCCATTCTCCCGCATTCCGCCCCCACGGAATGGATGCCGTCCGAGTCGTTCCCAACAAATCAACCGCCTCCGAGGATGCGTGGCCGCGGCGGTCGTGATGGCAACCAACCAGAATTTCGAAGCGGAGTTGCGCCGTTTGGAAGAGTTGGCGCTCAACATGTCAGACCGGGAAGGAGGCCCGATATCTCGCAGGGAGAGGGTCGCCGCTCTGCGCGCGGAGGGCAACCACACTTTGGCTGCCTCTCAAATGTTCAAGGTCGATCGGCACCAGGAGCCGAGACAAGCCAAGAAGGCGTTGATCCAGCAAAGACGCGAAGCGGAGAACGGATTCGCGCAAGCTCGTTGTACTTTCGAGATGCTCGAGGCCAACGTCACGGAGGTGGGGGGCCAGAACCTGACCAGGATGACAAGGCTGGCTACGCGCAGGGGCTCCCGAACTTCCTCTACCGTTTCGCGGCGCGTTTGGAGATGCAGCGGGCCCAGCGGACCAGATCGATCCAGCTCTCGCAGTCGCCGTGCAAGTTCTACGCCTGGAGCGCCTGGGGCCGCTACTTCATGAAGGTGCTACGAGTACGGATGCACAGGATCAAGTGCGCTCTGAAGTACAGGAGGTCCGACTTCTGCTTGCTGGCTGAGCTGGGGGAAGCCGCGGGGCGGTCGAAGGGGCTCCAAGAGCCGACCGCGCAGAACCTGGGTCGGACGGCCTTGGGCAAGCGCCCTCGTCTTTTGACGAAAGATAAGTTGAAGCTAGAAGGTCCAAGGGCCGGAGACGCCGCACGAAGAGGAAGGACAAGGGCCAGACCGCGCAGGCGGAGGACGTCATGGCAGTTGGTTCCAGCGAAGGTGATGACGAGTATGAGGAAGATCGCAGCCGTGGGTCGCCGGGCGGAGCGCCCGGTGCCGACGCCGCTAGCGACTTTCCGCAGCACCCCGAGACGTTTGCGAAGCTTGCGTGGAGAGGAGGCTCTTGGCCGATGCAGAGGGGCAGCATGAGGGCCAG